GTAGTCTACCCCCGCGAAAAAAAAAAAAAAAAAAAAAAAAAAAAAAGGAAGACTCCAGCACCACTACAGAAAATGTGGAAACCTGATCTGCTCCTCGTATTTGCTCTTCTCTCATTTTCTGACAGGTTTTCCTTTCTTTAACCCAGCCAATGAGCCACAGCACCCTAAGGTAGTTGAAGAGCACATAATCCCCAATGGATAGGGTCTACGGTCCCTTCTGATTTGAAGAAGCAATAGAAGACAGAGACCTCCAATCCCACAGCACTCCATAAAGAATCATGGGGATTTGTGTCTCTCGGGGAGAAATGAAATAGAATATTAGAGTGTGGCAAAGCTGCCTGGGGAAGTAGGTGTGACCTGTTAACTATAAGATCCTAGATACATGTGCAGAACTGTTCTCAAAGCTCTGCATGTGGACTTCTCATGAGAACTCAAACAGGTTTCAAGAGCATGGCCTAGACGTGACGTCAGCCCGAGGGGTGGGATCCCAGCACTGCCTCTCAGGACCCATATGTAGAAGTTCTCGCGGGTTTCCTAGAGATCTGGGCAGTATAAAGGACACCCACGCCAAGAAGAGCTTGCTGTTGTGCCTTTCCTCACGACAGTTCGCCATGCTTCCTCCAGGGTATACTTTTATCTTGCTTTTTCCTCTTTCGTTCAGCTCAAGCTCATTCTGCAGAGCCAGTTTGTCCCCCACCCTTCACTTTTATTTTCTTGAATACTCACTATTTTGTTTTCCCTCGTTTTGTTCAAATATTTTTTTGAGATCAGAAGAACGTGGAATCTAACTCCAGAGGGAGAGGTGAGCAACCCAGCACTGGGTAACGTTTAGCTGGTGAGCCACTTTTAGAAACAGGCTATGCTGTGACTTAATGATATTCAATTCAGTGTTGTTCATAATAAAGAAAAATTGGCATCAACAATGTTGATGAAAATGAAGGTAAAGACATTGTATTTTCTTTAGAAAGGGACACGCTATAAGAAGTTAAATTGATGCGTTAGGTGAAATGTACTAAGATGAATCTATTTAAAAATGTAATATTGAACTAAAAACTTGGGTTTCAGTATGACACATACATTATTGTGTCACAAATATATAATATTATATATATTATTTATCAACATGTACCTATATAGCAGAAGACTCAAAATGTGCATACAACTAACTTGTGTCAATTTCTTAGAGCTGTTGGGGAGTAAAATGGGCTTGGAAAGGGTACACGTGAGACTTTAATATTGTATTTCTTAAAAAAAAATGAAGAGCCAAATCAAATAAGGTAACATTTTGAGGCTGGATGAGGCAGGATGCTAAGGGCAGTGGATACATTCCTTTTAAGACTTCTTCACATATTTGAAATAAATCCTTCATCATATATTAGTTCAATGTTGTCAGGGTTCCCAACTATTGCCTGTGAGACACACATTATTTAAATATACATAGTTCCTAGTGTAACCCAGTGAGGTAATATCGAGTGTGGGATTCTATGACTGCAATTGCAGAGAACTTTCAGGAATCCTTTGTATTTCACTGTTTGGCTGAACAGCATGGGCAGTTAGGAGAGGACCTTTGAGCTGGGGTTTGATGGATGCATAGAAGTTTTCCAGGGCAAGGAAAAAAAAAAAAAGAGAGAGAAGGAATAGCACATGTAAAGGTATGAAGTAATGTGATATGTAAGTCAGAAAACTGTAAATAAATTGGCATTTTTTGAGATGTATAGACAGTATGACTATGATCTCTGTGCGATATAACAGGCTATATAGATAGTCAGAAGAAAGCTCAATATGATTATAGGTGGGCCTCTACCCTGTGGGAATGAAATGCCACCCTGGAGGGCTGCAAGATGGCTGCGGATGACAATCATACTTGCCTTTTCCAAAATCACTCTGGAGGAAGACTGAGGTGAGGCACTAAAGATAGGGAGGATAATTAAATCTGGGTATTAACCACATGCAGACACGAGGTAAAGAGCCGGGATTGAGACGGCGAGCGGCATGAGGGTAGCAGAAGAGAAGGTGACAAATGGTTTAGCCACTCTATGGAACGCTATTCATAACAAAAATGAATGAATATTAATACACACAGTGATGTGCATGAATATTACATTAAGTGAAAAGATCAAACAAAAGACAATGTGCTTTATGATTCCATTTATAGAAAGTTCCAGATAAAGCAAACCGATAGTGACAGAGGATAGATTAGTGGTTGGCTGGGGTCAGAGTTTGTTGGAGGAAGGTTATCTTCAAAAGACATAAGATAGATTTTAGGAAGAAGAAGCTTTTTCATATCTTGATTGTGGTTACATATGCTGCAAAATTACCACATTCATCAACTGCTATATTTAAAACAGGTGAATGTGATTATATGTAAATACTGCCTTAATAAAAAAAACTTTTAAAATGAAGTAAAGAAACCAAAAGACTTAGCAGACAAAATCCACATTGGCTGCGTTTCTAGAAAAGATACTGAAAAATAAAACTGAAAACACTCTAAGGGTACTATCCAAACTAGTTTTCAAACTATTTTCTAGTCAGAAAATTTCAAAGACATACAAAAGTTGATGGAATAATCTAATGAACATCTATATACTCAACACTGTTTTAGCAATTGTCAAATTATTACCAATTTTATTTCATTTAAACTTCATACCTTTCTCCTGCTTCTCATTTATTCTGAAGCAAATGAAAGACATGATATAATCTGAACCATAAACATTTTAGTATAAATATGTAATAATGACTCTAAAAGATAACTACGATACCATTCACATATCTAAAATTAACAATAATGATAATTCCTGAATGTCATCTATTATCCAGTTAGAGTCAAATATCTAATTGTTTCACAAAGTTGTACATTGTCAATTTAGAGTTTGACCCAACATCCAGAGAAGCACCACATACTGCAGTTGATGAATCTTCTAAGTCCATTTGTTTATACGTTTTCCCTTTCTTTTTTATCCTTGCAATTTATTTGTTGAAAAGTCTGCTTCTTAATGTGAAGTCTTGTTCTATTATGGAAATAACTACCTCCTAGGTGTAGTGAACTGTTTTTGGAATGTTCTATAGTTATTCTTTTAATATTTTAGGTGCATTCCACATGTTTTTGGATAAAAACACAGATTGGTGACATAGGACTATCTTACTGCAGTCTACTATATTTTTGCTTTTTTCATTTTGTCTCAAAGCCTTATATCACAGTCTTATGATTAGCAGCACTGTTCAGACACCAACACAGACATGAATTACTTACAGTTGTTGAGGGATCATCTGTTTCATCAAGGAAAATATTTAATCTTGCTTCTTTTTCCAAAATTATATCAACATTTTGTATCATATCATTTTTTATATCAATCATTTGACTCCTCCTTGTGGAAATCATGCTGTTACCTTGATTTTTATTGTATTTCATCTACATAGAAGCAAAATACAACACAACTTTTGTTTTTTATAAATGAAATTTATTATACTATGTTGTATTAGAAAAATTAGAGCAAAAGTTATCAACTCACATGAATAAGGAATTAACTAAAACTCAAACTGTCCATCTTGAGCTTACATAAAGAAAGATGAGAATTCAATCAGCAGTAGGAGTTTAAAAAGCTTAAATTATTTATTTTTGAAAATAGACTTTATTTTTTGAAGTAATTTTAGGTCCACAGTAAAGCTGAGCAGAAAATGTTTCCCAACTACTCTTTTGTTGCCATGCATGCATACATACATTATTGTTTTGTTTTCTCTAACTAGGGCTTGAACCCAGGGCCCTCACAGCGAGCTACATTCCCACCTCTTTTTAAAAAAATGTTTTAAATTTTGTGACAGGTTCTTCATAAGTTACTAATTTGCCTCAGACTTTTCTCAGACTCCCAGAGTGCTGGGATTTTAGGTGTGTGCCACCATGCCTGGCTTACATGTGTTATGTGCAAAGATCTATGCTTGTGTGTGTGAGAGAGAGAGGGAAAGAGATAGAGAGAGAATATATTTGCTTATGTGGGCACATAGAAATAGGCTGATTGTGCAATTTTATATAATTTCACTGTCAATCCATAGGGGAATGGTTAAATAAATTATGGCACTATGCAATGGTTCAAAATTGGTAATGCATATATACTAACAGAAAAGATCTCTATGATATATATATTTTTTGTACTGGGGATCGAACTTGGGTCTTTGCACTTGTGAGGCAGGCGGCAGCACCACTGAGCTAAATCCCCGGCCCCTCTATGATATATTCTTACATTAAAAAAGAAGCTACAGAATAATATAATTTATTGAATACTTTGTATATCTTGAGAACTTTTTAAAGGTTCTTTGCATATATTAACTCATTGTTGCTTAGATAAATTGCTTCATAAAGTAGCACTCTTATCATCTTTTATCTTCCAAATAAACAAACTGAAATAAAGAGAAATTAATAATTTGGCCAAGGTTGCCAGGTAGAGGCAGAACAAACATTCACATCATGGCTGGTGTGCAGCTGCATGGTAGAGTGCTTGCTTAACGTGTAAGGCCCTGGGTTCAATACCCAGCACTGCCACTAAAAAAAAAAGGTGGGGGGAGAAGATAAAAGATTTATATTCAAGAAGTGCCATACTTGAAAACTTTACCCACTCTATGAATAAGCCCAGTTTTCTCTATTTAAAAAGTATGTATACATTTATGTTAGATATACATTGCAGACACTCCTCCCTCTACAATAATTCTGGAGATTACATACCGAGTTGTGAAGAGCTCTCACCTTGGGGGTGATTCATATTGTAAAGAGATACTCATATTCCCTTAATATAGTTTGAGTTATCTCACATTATTAGTGAGCAACAGAGAATAATATAAAAACTCCTTCCTGCTCTAGGAAAGTGATCCAATCCACCTTCAACAGACCTCCGACCTTGCTGGTTACTGGGTCAAGAAATTTAGGGTCGATATTCTGCGAAGAGCTCACCACTTAGATATAGAAAAGGGAGAGTTTTGTGTTGAATCCTGCCCCTGCGCCCAAAGATATATTGAAATCCCTACTCTGTGTGCTTGTGAATGTGACTTTATTTGGAAATACAGAGTCCACCAAAAACATGTATACACACTTCAGGAAAAGGAAAACTTGTATAAATATTTTAATACTAAATTTATTGAGATATCATGACATTCATACAAGTTACCTTTGGACTCTACAATTACAAGAGGTGCTCAGAGTGGTGGCCATTGGCTTCTAGACATTTTTTGTTGTTGTTGTTTTTTGTTTTCTTGAGACAGGGTCTCACTATGTAGTTGAGACTGATCTGGAACTCACTTTGCAGCCCAGGCTGGTCTCAAACTCACAGCAATCCTGCCTCAGCCTCCCTAGTGCTAGGATTACAGGCATGCGCCACCACACCTGGCGGCTTCTAGACATTTATTAGTATGGTGAACTGCTGCTTGGGTTACCTTGGTCATTGAGATTGCTGCATATGCATTTTCAATTTCCTCTCTAAGGGCCAGCAGTATAGTGGTACAACATCCTCTAAGGTCCTCCATATGAGGATATGTTTAAAAAAATAGCATACAATTTTTCTTTCACTGAAGTCTGATACATTTTTTTTTGGCGGACTCTGTAGTCTGCAAATGTTATGATATCTAGATGAATTTTTAGTATTTGATTTTAATTATTATTATTATTATTATTTGGTACCGGGGATCGAACTCTGGCCCTTGTGCTTGCAGGGCAGGTGGCGGAACCACTGAGCCAAATCCCCAGCCCCTTTTTGGATTTTTTGAGACAGGGTCTCACTATGCAGTCAAGACTGACCTGGAACTCACTATGTAGCCCAGGTTGGTCTTGAACTCATAGCGATCCTCCTGCCTCAGCCTCCTGAGTGCTGAGATTACAGGCATGTGCCACCACACCCGGCCTGTTTTTCTCTTTTTTAAGGGTTAATCTTTTAAACCTAAGAGAATCATGTAACTTTTATTAAGATAAAGTATCAATGGTACATTCAATGACCGTTGGCATATTTATACACCTTTTTTTTTTTTGAGACAAGGTTTCACTATGTAGTGCAGACTGCCCTTGAATTCACTGTGTAGCCCAGGCTGGCTTGAATTTGTGATCCTCCTGCCTCAACCTTCCAAATGCTGGCGTTACAGACATGTGCCACCACACCCGGTTTATCCTTAGTTATTTTGTCAGGCTCTGTGGTAGAGACATGCCATCATGATCTCCAGTGAGTTACATCCTTATCTAATCCCCTAATCTTGAGCATGTATTGCTTCTACAGATGCTGTGATTATGATACATGGGTTGAAACCCAGTAGACTGGAGAGACAGCAAGGCCTCTGCTGTTCTAGGATGATCAAGCACTCACAGTGAAGGAGCCTCATGTAAAGGCATTGGTCTCTAGGTTCTGACCTTACCTTCTCTCACAGCAACTCTGACATCCAGGGGGCTGGGAGATGCTTCCTCTCCAGAGCTTCCAGACAGGACACAAGGACACAAGGAGGGCACCCTGGGAGAGGCCCTCAGAGAGAACGCAGCCAAGCCCAGATTCCGCTGCAGAGCTCAGAGACAGGCATGGGAGTTTCTTGGTCTGCTCAATGTTTTTATTATGGAAGGAGTTTGGACATACAAAAGTGGATGGGACCTTCAGATACCCATTGCTAGTCTCAGGAATTATCTACACATGCTTGATCGATACCACTTCCCCTTCCCCAAGAAAATACCAGATTCCAGCATTTTAGTCTGTAAATGCTTAGCTTTGTATTTCTAAAAGATATGGCCACATTAAAAAAAACACAGCATTATCTCCTCTCAGAAAGGTTCTTAATATCACACAAAATATGGCTTGTACTTCAGTTTATATAAAACAAGTCACTGCAGCGTGCTGGTGCAGGCCTGTAATGCAGTACTCGTGAGGTTGAGGCAGGAGAATCACAAGTTTGAGCCCAGTCTGGGCAACTTAGCAACTCAGTGAGACCCTGTCTTAAATTAAAAATTTTAAAAAGGGTTGAGGATAGAGCTCAGTGTGAAGGCCCTGGAGTTCAATTCCTAGTACCAACAAACAAAACAACTGATGAAAATGGCATTCTCCATTTGATTGATATGTTTTTTAGATCCCTTTTAATCTGTTTTCCCCACTTGTGATTAGTCAGTCGTAGACTTTCCTATTTTGGCATTTGCTGATTACATTATTTCATTATTATTTAATTTTGGTCACTGATCTATTTACTCTAACTGGAGTTAGAGCCAAAGGGTTGATCAGATTCAGGTTTGGTGTTTGGGGGTAAGAATATTTCAGATCTGTATTGTTCTCTACATTTACTGATTGCCTTTTAATTTGAGGTTAGAAAAAAAATCAATGGCTTTCAGTGTTTTCAGCCTATTTCACCCATGTTGAAGTTCCTCATCAGCGTTTCACCTCAGTTTTAATCAGTTATTGGTGATGATTGTCTAGGTCCATTATTTCATGAGGGATTAAAAAGTGGCAATATTTTATCACTTTATCATTTATCAGTTGAAATATTTTCATAAAATAAACACAACTTTCTCCCCTCAACTGTGTGGTTCCTTTGAAGCACAGAGTAATGGGGTTGGCCAGGTGTATCTTTCAAAGTCGAGTGATGAGGGATATTTCCCCTTTGTTACTGTGTAGGAATTCATGGAGTTCAACACACTTAATGTGTTACAATCCACTACATTGAGGTGTGTGTGTGTGTGTGTGTGTGTGTGTGTGTGTGTGTGTGTGTGTTGAGGACTTGAACCTAGGGATCCCTAAGTCCTTCTAACTTAAAAAATGTTTTTATTTTTAAAATTTTTTAGGCAGGGTTTCCTTTTGTAGTTCAGGCTAGCCCTGAGCACACTATGTAGCCCAGGCTGGCCCTGAGCTCACAGTGATCCTCCTGCCTCAACCTCCTGAGTGCTGGGATTATAGGCATGTGCCACAACACCCGGCTCTAAAGATTTTAGTTTTGATGCAGGGCCTTGCTAAGTAGCCCAAGCTGGCCTCAGACTTGAAATCTTCCTGCCTCAGCCTCTTGAGTATCTGGGATTACATTCAGCATTGCTTCTGCTGCTCGAATTGTTCCATGATTGGCCAGGGCAGCCTCTTCCAGTTGGCACCTCTTACCTGAGTTCACTGACTGATAGCTTCCTTGTTTGAGATGTGACAGTGCATTTCTGGTTTAAATATTTTCTGTCTCATATCTGGACTCGGGCCTGATTTCTTTGAATAGAAGATGATATTAAGTCACTATGATCTAGACTTAGGTTGCTCACTACAGTTGGGTTGGTTTTTAGGCTTTTTCAGTGGATAGACAAGGAACTAAAAAAATTTGGGGGGAAATTTGGGATTAATTGGTTTTACTTGACTTCTTTGATTTTTACATTTGAACTGTTCTTGCTGAGAATCTTGATTCTTACTTAAAGTATTCAAATATGTTACTATATTTACATAAACTAATTTCAGAATAGTAATAGTGGTATTAATACTAACAATCTAACTTCAAAATAGATGCTTTAAGTTTTATTTTTGTTACTTTTTTCTTATTAGGGTATACCTTCAAATTATTGTGTTATAGCATCACTTGAAATAAATCTGTATAGTCTTTTTTTTTTCTTTCACTTTTCTCTTTTGTACTGGGAATTGAACGCAGGGCCTTGTGTTTGCCAGGCAGGCCCTGCGCCACTGAGCTACATCCCTGACCCAAGTCTTTTCTGTTTTTAACGTAATGTACAGTTAGATTCTTAATTTTTTTTATTTTGTTTTTGAGTTTTAGGGATTACTTTAAAATTTAAAAAATTTAAATTGATAAATATGTATGTATACATAACATGTATCAATTTCATGATTTTTTTGGAGACAGGGTCTCAATATGTAGTTCAGGGTAGCCATGAACTTGCAGCAATCTTCTTGCCTCAGCCCACTGAGTACTGGGATTACAGTCATGCAGTACCACATCCAGCTCGACTGAATAATTTTAAAGTGTATGCTTCAGTGGCATTGGTACATTTACATTGTTACACAATGGTCACCACCATTGACCTGTAGAACTTCTTCATCTTTTCAAAACAAACCTCTGTGCATAACGAACATTAACTGCCATTTCCCTCTCTCTCTCTATCTCCCCACCACTGTTCCATTTTCTATCTACTCTAGGTAGTCAAAGTGGAATTGTAGAATATTTGTTCTTTAGTGACCTCTTATTTCACTTAGTAGGGACAACTTTAAAAAATTTTTAATTTGATAGTCTTTTATAACTATACAAAGCCTTTATGAGGTGCCACAATCAAATTTGCAATTTCTTCCCTCCCTCAGAGCTAATCCTATAAGTGTTTTTGGTTTATTTTTCCCCTGCCCTTTTATTTTTATTTATTTATTTATTTTTTTGGTACCAGGGATTGAACTCAGGTCCTTGCACTTGAGAGGCAGGTGGCGGAAACACTGAGCTAAATCTCCAGCCCCTGCCCTTTTATTTTTAAACAATACACAAGCAGACACATACTATATTTGTATTTATTCCCTTTTTTAAATGGTTGCATTTAAGAATGGTAAATAAATAAACAAACAAATAAACACACACTTTCTCTTGCTTTAGCAATATATCATGAGCATCACTTTTTATCTTTACCTAGAGATAGCGCCCATTCCCCTTTATGGTTCTTAACTCACAATTGGTTCATCGGCTGTAACCCTGATAATATACTTTTTTCCTCAGGCTCGTTCCCATTTTAGTACATGTGCCACTGAAGTGAACATAACACATGATATTTAGGACTACAACTTGAGGTACATACCATATATTGTCCTAACACTTGTTGCAAGTCTGCAGCAACTGCATTTGAAGGAAAAAAATGCTCTTGTGACATCAAAGGATTTCTTGTAAAAGTATCACTAACCTGGAGAGATGAATGGAAATACATAACCTGTATAGATAATTTCAACGGCGAATTACAGAGCCTGTATTCATTTGAAGCAAAGCCTGGCAAAACTTAAACATAAAAGAAATTGCAACATGCCTGGCCTTTTGGTGATAGGGCATGTTTTCTACAGTAAGATGCAGTATTTATGCAAACTGCTCCAAAATGACTCTCACTGCTGTTGTGCAGGACAGAAACTCTTGGTATAACTGTAAGCACTGCCTTTACTTGGCAGATTCAAGGACGGGAGGGGAGGAGCAGTTGTTTCCCTGTGGCGCACGACCTTTTCTAAACAGTGTTGTTGCCCCTAGCTTCAAAATTTACCCGACAGGGCCTGGGATTTACCTCAGTGGTTCTGCTGCCTGCTTCGCAAATATAAGGTTTAATCCCCGATACCAAAAACAAAAAAGAAAAAAAAATCCACCCAACAATAACATAACAGTGCTAACTAAATGCCATGACTTTCTATCAAACCTTAGTTATAGGACATTTCAAAATCTTGGGACAGAATTCTGAACTGCTTGTACTTAATGTTGTATTTCTTAGAAGCAGTGGTAAATGTTATGTGGTTAGCAATTTTGTGTCACCTGGAAATATGGTAAAGTTAGGATCTTTTGTTGTAATGGGAAGAGAGAAAACAAATCAGAACATATTCAGCCAAGTGGCTGTTTAGCATCTGGACTCCAGAAATTGCCTAGGTATAACTGAAGGGTGAATTACAATATTTAAGCCTGATTGTCTTGGGTACAATTGGAGCTGTGTCATGCAAGTTAGTACACTGAGGAGAAAATGCATTTGAATTTGATGAGAGAGTAATTATTAGCGACTAGGGTGTAGCTGCGTTTTCCTTTAATATCTTCATCAAAATATTTATCCTGAATTATATATTTCCAAGTAAAACAGATTAGTGTCATTTACTTTTAAATATAAGAAACCAACACAGAAATCCCCAGAATAATGGTTTAATTCTTGTCTGTCTCTGGACTGCCTTTCCTGGGGTCTCCTTCTGCTGGATGGAGATCAAACTTGGGGCACTAGGAAAAACAGGTGCTATCTGTTGAGGTTAATTACCCTTCAAAAATTTACCAGATTTCCTTCGTCTATATAACCACATACACATAAGTGCTCTATTTACCATAGTTTATATTTGCTGGCAATTCTCCGTTAAAACTTTCCCTAAACATAATTTGTTTTGCTTTGTCTTTTTATTTACCTCTGATAACTGATTTATATATGCTAACAGAAGTGTCTTTAGAGTATTGGTATAAAAATTTTTTTGTTACTTATCTCCCCTCATATAGAATTACTTGCTAATTAAGACATGTACTATTGAAAAAGTATATTGAATATTAGGATAGTATAATTTATTTTTTAATTTTAAAAACAATATATATAAGGAAAGGTTCTAATGCGTCTGAGTGGATGGTCTTTGTTTAGAGTAAGGGAAAGTATAGAAACAGGAGATGGGTGAGGGGTGAAATTATACCTCTAAAGGCCATTACTGGCTCTGCATATGAGCGGGGAACGAGTGGCTGCTTTGGGTTAGTGACACAGTTATCAGTGGGCTACACACCAGAAACCTCATAACTGCCATAGTTGCTAAGTCCTTACAGGTCGAATAAAAAGTCACTTACTTCTCTAAGAAATGCAGATGGTGCTACCATATCCAAGGCATTGTCTGTAGCACATAAGTAAGTGATTCCTTCGATAAAGAGAGTATGGTAGACATAGCTTTGAAAAGAATGCATTTAGTATTTACAAATATTGAAGAAATTAAGCATCTATATCAATAATTCAATATAATTTTTGAGCTATCATTACTGGTATAAAAACTATAAACAAATTTATAATCAGAATAATTAGAAGAGTTTTTATCTATTTGACAAATTATATTAAATAAAAATGTATACAATTTAAGTATATATTTTAAGTTGCATCAGTAAAAATAAATAAAATACTACATATATATAAAACTTTGGAACCATAAATATATTTATTTATTATTCAATACATTTATTTGTTTGCTTTTGTTCTTTTCTTTTTTTTGAGACAGGGTCTCACTATGTAGCTCAGGCTGGCCTTGAACTCACAGTGATCCTCTGGCCTCAGCCTCCCAAGTGGGGGATTACAGGTATTCGCTACCATGCCTTTTGGCTTCTTGAGACAAAGTCTCCTTATGTATTCTATGGTGGGCCAAAACTTATAGGAATTCTTCTGCCTCAACCTGTGTATGTGTGCCACCATGCTCAGCATATTTGTTTGAAAAAGTTTGGGCAAAAATCAAATTCTAAGACTGAATGAAGATGTTGAATAAATAGAAAATGCTATGTTCACTAACTTTTACTATCCTTACATTTTTAGGTAGACTTAATTTTGGCACTTCTTGGCTTTGTATTTTGAGGATGTGAATATAAAAGTTTTAAATTGTCAATGCCAAATATTCTGGATAACTTGATGAGTTGGAGAGAGAGGAATTAAACTCCTTCTAATAAGCTAAAGTGAGCTGTTCCTGGCCACTCCAACTGCTAGATCTTTTCTCTTTCTGAGGAGGGCCTCCATCCTTATTGCTCAGTCCCTAACATTAATCTACTCTTTCTGTATGGTTAACAGACCTGGTCAAATGTTAAACTGGATATGTATAAGAATAAGGACTCTCAGAAACAGAAAAGAATTTGAGAGGTAGAAAATGTAAAATATGTGCCATTTCAAATAAATCTTCATAATCATATCATGAATACAATATGCTAAACACATTTCAATGGTGATATTGGTGGATACACATAATATTCACTTGGAGAATATTTTTATTTATAAAATTGGAAGGCTGCTGGACAAAGAATTGATGATTCTACCATTTATCTGAAAGTCACATCTGATTAAGTTGATACTGGAAATAAGAAAAGGAGAAATATTTTAAATTTATGCTTAGTATATTATTAGTAACATACAGAAGCTATTCTTTTTCTATTTTTTTGAGACAGGATCTCACTATTGTTCAGTCTGGCCTTGAATTCACTAGGGAGCCCAGGCTGGCCATTTGATTGGTGAATTGAGACCAATTACATTGATGGTTATACGTGATATGTTTGACTTATCCCTGTCATATTGTTTTCCTGTTGTTGGTTCTCTTTATTTGCCCTCTGTTTAGTTGCTTGCCTTGCCTGGTAGATTCATTCTGTTGGGGTTCGTGGAGTTGTAGTTCTTGCTACTTCTTTCTAGCATGTCCATCAAAACATTTTTGAGTACTGGTTTGGTATTCCTGAATTTCTTCAGGTGTTCTTTGTCATGGACGTATCTTATTTCTCCATCAATTTTGAAATATGGTTTTGTGGGATACATCAATCTAGATTGGAGGTTGTTTTCTTTTAGGGCTGGAAATGCTTTACTCCAAGCTCTCTTTGATCTGAAGGTTTGTGTCAAGAAGTCTGCTGTGATTCTGATGGGCTTTCCTTTATAGGTGGTTTGTTTCTTTTCCCTAACAGCTTATTTTTTGTTTCAATAAAAATGTATTTGTAGACTGATATTTAAATTTTATATAATTTTCTTGGGTCATGAGATATAATTCTTCTGTTGAATTTTGTTTGTTTGTTTTTTGAGACAGGATCTCACTGTATAGTTGAGACTGACCTGGAACTCACTATGTAGCCCAGGCTGGTCTCGAACTCACAGTGATCCTCCTGCCTCAGCATCCCAAGTGCTGGGATTACAGGCGTGCGCTACCACACCCGGCTCCCCTGTTGATATTTTTTAGACCATTTAAAAATGTGAAAGTCATTCTCAGTTCACGGGCCACACCAAAACAGATGAGAAGAAAAACTTGGCTTGTAAGTTATGATTTGTTAATTAATCCTGACTTAAAAAATAAAATATAAAAAAAAAGTTTACAGTTTAGAACCCCCAGGTTCTGAAATGGCACTTGGGCAGCTGAGGATTTAGCTTGGTGGTTCTGCCACCTGCCTTGCAAGTGCAAAGACCCTAGTTTGATCCCCAGTACCCCCCTAAAAAAAAGGTACTTGGACAAAACTAGCAATCCTCAATTTACTTAAAGATTCCTCCAGTGTCCTTGATTTGAATTTTATTTTAGCGTATCTTTGAGGATGAAGAAGTTTATAGTTTGTTTCCTTCTGAGTTCATAAGATTTATCTTACTCAAAGTATCTTCATCTATTCTTTTTTTTTCATACCAGGGATTGAATTTGGGACCTTCTGGTCAAATGTTAAACTGGATATGTATAAGAATAAGGACTCTCAGAAACAGAAAAGAATTTGAGAGGTAGAAAATGTAAAATATGTGCCATTTCAAATAAATCTTCATAATCATATCATGAATACAATATGCTAAACACATTTCAATGGTGATATTGGTGGATACACATAATATTCACTTGGAGAATATTTTTATTTATAAAATTGGAAGGCTGCTGGACAAAGAATTGATGATTCTACCATTTATCTGAAAGTCACATCTGATTAAGTTGATACTGGAAATAAGAAAAGGAGAAATATTTTAAATTTATGCTTAGTATATTATTAGTAACATACAGAAGCTATTCTTTTTCTATTTTTTTGAGACAGGATCTCACTATTGTTCAGTCTGGCCTTGAATTCACTAGGGAGCCCAGGCTGGCCATTTGATTGGTGAATTGAGACCAATTACATTGATGGTTATACGTGATATGTTTGACTTATCCCTGTCATATTGTTTTCCTGTTGTTGGTTCTCTTTATTTGCCCTCTGTTTAGTTGCTTGCCTTGCCTGGTAGATTCATTCTGTTGGGGTTCGTGGAGTTGTAGTTCTTGCTACTTCTTTCTAGCATGTCCATCAAAACATTTTTGAGTACTGGTTTGGTATTCCTGAATTTCTTCAGGTGTTCTTTGTCATGGACGTATCTTATTTCTCCATCAATTTTGAAATATGGTTTTGTGGGATACATCAATCTAGATTGGAGGTTGTTTTCTTTTAGGGCTGGAAATGCTTTACTCCAAGCTCTCTTTGATCTGAAGGTTTGTGTCAAGAAGTCTGCTGTGATTCTGATGGGCTTTCCTTTATAGGTGGTTTGTTTCTTTTCCCTAACAGCTTATTTTTTGTTTCAATAAAAATGTATTTGTAGACTGATATTTAAATTTTATATAATTTTCTTGGGTCATGAGATATAATTCTTCTGTTGAATTTTGTTTGTTTGTTTTTTGAGACAGGATCTCACTGTATAGTTGAGACTGACCTGGAACTCACTATGTAGCCCAGGCTGGTCTCGAACTCACAGTGATCCTCCTGCCTCAGCATCCCAAGTGCTGGGATTACAGGCGTGCGCTACCACACCCGGCTCCCCTGTTGATATTTTTTAGACCATTTAAAAATGTGAAAGTCATTCTCAGTTCACGGGCCACACCAAAACAGATGAGAAGAAAAACTTGGCTTGTAAGTTATGATTTGTTAATTAATCCTGACTTAAAAAATAAAATATAAAAAAAAAGTTTACAGTTTAGAACCCCCAGGTTCTGAAATGGCACTTGGGCAGCTGAGGATTTAGCTTGGTGGTTCTGCCACCTGCCTTGCAAGTGCAAAGACCCTAGTTTGATCCCCAGTACCCCCCTAAAAAAAAGGTACTTGGACAAAACTAGCAATCCTCAATTTACTTAAAGATTCCTCCAGTGTCCTTGATTTGAATTTTATTTTAGCGTATCTTTGAGGATGAAGAAGTTTATAGTTTGTTTCCTTCTGAGTTCATAAGATTTATCTTACTCAAAGTATCTTCATCTATTCTTTTTTTTTCATACCAGGGATTGAATTTGGGACCTTGTGCTTGTGAGGCAGATGGCAGAACTACTGAGCTAAATCCCCAGCCCTCTTCATCTATTCTTAAGCATGCAAAAGCAACATATACAGTAACCCCTCCTTATTCATGAGGAAACTTTCCAAGACTTCCCAGTGGGTGCCTGAAACTGAAGATAGTACTGAACCCGATGTATACTCTGTTCTTATCTCTAGGCCCTGCAGCACTGCTACATAGTACCAGAGTTGATCTGTCTTTCCGAATTTGATGTCGTAGTATCTCCTTTGCATCATTACTCTTGCTTGCATTTTGCTGCCATCATTAAGCAAAGCAAGGGTTACTTGAACACAAGCATTGCAATAGTTGATCTGACAACTAAGACAGCTATTAAGTGATTAATGGGCAGGAAGGGGCTATAGCATGCACAAGATTTCATCACATTACTCAGGAAAAGTGCACAATTTAAAACTTTGGAATTGCTTATTTCTGCAACACTCCATTTAATATGTTTGGACTATGTCAGGAGTTAGGTAAAACTATGGAAAATGAAACCCTGAATAATTAAAGAGTACAGCATTGCGAGTGGAATCCCCAAAAGAGCTTTCCTTGTGATTCCTTCGATGATGCACCAGCACTTGAGTTGCCCACAGAATACATCTTCTGGGTCAATGACCCTCCACAGGTGAACCAGCTGTGTGTGCACAGGCACTGTTGAAATGGTGTGAGGCAGGCATAGTCACTTTCAATGATGGGACAGAGTTATGTTAAATATGTTGCATAACTTCTATTTTCCACCAATTCATCCAGGTTAAATTATTTGATATAATATAATGTCATATCAGATAAGAAATCAAATAGTTCTGTGGTATCCTAAACATCTCTGAATAGTTGGTATATCTCTCTCCGCCAAAGGTATGATCTCCATGTTGCCATCCATCAGAAGAAATGTGTTGTATATA